GCAAAGTTATTTATTCTTAGCTTTTTTTTTAATACAATTTATAAAAAGTAAGATTCTCAAGGGCCCCCTGAGTGCCTGGGGCCCCTGGGCACTGCCCGGGTGTGCCCATGCGTAAAGACGGTACTGAATTGGGGCTCTTGATTTTTCAGAGCTTGGGTTGGACTCGGGGTCAGACGTAACATTACAACCCGACTCACCAGTTTCCATGCTTGGTATTGATGAAGCAATGGAGCTGATAAAGGAAGATCTTTCTTCCAAAAATAACCAGGATAGGTAGGAGCCATTCTGGTTTCATTCATACTGCTAACCAATGGCTACAATCAAGGTTGGTCAAATCAATCTCCATCATAGCATTGCTGCCTCAAGCCTTATGGCCAAAAGGTTGAATGATGGAGAACTAGATATTGCTCTTATACAAGAGCCTTGGACCCGCAAGGGCAGAATAATGGGTCTCAATGTTAAAGGTTTTAATATCTTTTATGATACCCATTGTGATCTTCCCAGGACCTGCATAATGGCTAGGTCTAATCTAAATGCCCTTAATCTTGTAAAATTTCTTAACAGGGATTTAGTTGCAGTAAAGCTAAAATTCTATGATAATAAGTCAATCTCTGATTTTGTCATAGTTTCAGCCTATCTCCCCTATGAGGAGAAGAATCCATTAGCTGACATTACTAGGGCCCTAATTGCCCACTGTAGTTCAAGCTGTAGATTCATCTTTGGCTGTGATGCAAATGCTCACCACACAGTGTGGGGTAGCAGTGATTGTAACCAGTGGGGGGATGTACTCAAGGAACACATTTTACATTTTAATTTGTATGTCCTTAATAAAGGCAATGAACCTACCTTTGTTACATATAACAGAAGGGAAGTCATTGACCTTACTTTATGTAACTCTAATTCAGTAGATTACATTAATGATTGGAAGGTATCTGGGGCAGTCACTGCCTCAGATCACCAACTAATTACTTTCTCTATTAAAGGCCTCTCAGGACTGAAGGTCGTAAGGAGGAACCCCAGAACAGCTGATTGGGGTTCCTTTAGAGCAGCTCTGGAGAGGAAGATGGGGAGCTTCTCTGGTAAGTACAATAATGTTAATGATGTGGAGTGGACTGTTGACCAAGTGCAACAGATCATACTCGATTCATATCATATTTCTTGTCAGGTTACGTCTACTAGCTCCCCAAGGAGAGTTCCTTGGTGGTCTTCTGAGCTTAGTAAATTACGTAAGAAATGTAGGAAGTTATTTAACAGAGCAAAGAAATCTGGTGAATGGCAGTCCTACAGAAACGCTCTAACTGCTTATAACAAGGCGATCAGAGCATCTAAACGTCGCTCATGGCAGACTTTCTGCGATGGCATTANTTTTCTTAGAGAGGAATCTCGTCCGAAGGGTCATGATCGCACCAAGACGTCCGTCCGGAAATGGTCAGGCTGAAAGAACAGTCCAGACCGTCAAAGATGCCCTAAGGCGCATTGTGAAGGGAAATTGGAGGAAGAGGCTTGCCAAGTTCCTTCTTCAACAACATTGTACTCCCACCACCACAACAGGTGCTAGTCCTGCGGAACTGTTGATGGGGAGGAAGCTAAGGACCGTCTTAGATAGACTCCATCCAGATCTGACGGCTGAGAGGAAGTTGAGACAGGAGCAAGATGCGTATAGAAAAAATGGTAGTTCTCTTCCAAGATCGTTCAGTGCCGACGATCCAAGGGGTTTTGTCCCCTATCCTATGGTGTATGGTAATGGACTCCCTGTTAGTTCGGTTAACTGCTCTTGGCATTCCCTGTATCGGGTACGCTGATGACGGTGTTATTGTTGTCAGAGGCAAACATGGAAAAACTGTCTCTGATATCATGAATAATGCACTCCTAGAAGTAGCTAGGTGGTGTTTTAAATCAGGCTTATCTGTCAATCCATTCAAGATAAGTTATGTAGCCTTTACACGGAAAAGGCAACTTGATCTAGGTAATGTATACTACCTGGACCATAAATTGGAACTCACGGAGAAAGTCAAGTTTCTCGGGGTTTATTTTGACTCCAAACTAAATTGGGGTCTTCAACTTGAATACTGCACCAACAGGGCCAGAAAAATTTTCTGGTCTTGTAGAAATGCTATTGGTAGAACATGGGGACTGTCCCCCAAAATAGTCTACTGGATATACTCAATGATTATTAGTCCTATCATCACTTATGGCGCAATCGTCTGGTGGTCAAGGACTAGATTGAGCTCTGCAAGGTCTAATCTTAACAGACTACAAAGAATGGTCTGTGTAGCCCTGTCAGGCTGTCTCAGGACCACTCCTACAGCTGCTCTAGAGAGCTTACTTGGGCTTCTTCCATTGAACTTACGCATTGAAGTTGAAGCTCAGACAGGCGTAAAGCGTCTTATGTACCTTGGCCTATGGAAAGAGAATTCCAAACACTTGTCATGGGGACATCTTGTTTCACAAGTGAAGGATTTATCCTCTTTTATTATGCCTAGTGATTATATGTCACTAAGATATGCTTTTCACAAGCCCTTCAAGATCCATTTTCCTACTAGAGATGAATGGTTCAATTCTCCTCGGTGGCTTAAAGGCAAATGCCTGATATGGTACACTGATGGGTCAAAGATTGGTGCCAAATCAGGAGCAGGAATTTACTGCTCCAATGATGGTACCAAACTTCACTTTCCCCTGGGAAATTATGCCACCGTTTTTCAGGCTGAGGTCTATGCCATTATCTTGTGCTGCAAGTTATGCATAGACAAAGGATATCAAAATACGACTATCCGCATCTGTTCTGACAGTCAGGCTGCTCTCCTATCACTGTCAAGGTGTAAATTCACCTCTTTGTTAGTGTGGGAATGCTTCTCGGTCCTCTGTGACCTGTCCACTCATAACAAGGTATCCCTGCATTGGGTACCAGGACATATGGGTATCGGTGGAAATGAGCTAGCTGACGAAGCAGCACGGGCTGGCTCTAATGCAATTTTCTGGGGCCCTGAACCTGCGCTGGGAATTTCTCCCTCCTCATTTAGGGCAACCATATTCAAGCTCTACGGCAAGATCGCCCATGAGCAGTGGCGCGCTGCTGACGGTCAAAGACAAGCTAAGGAGCTGAATCGAGACTGTCCTAGTGTACGTCAAAAGGAGCTCTTAAAGCTTAACAGAAACAGTATAAGGAAGATCATTGGTCTTCTTACTGGTCACTGTATCCTCAGAAGACACCTAAACATTATGGGAATTGAATCAAATTCTCTTTGTCGGGGATGTCATCTAGAAGAAGAGACATCACGACACATACTCTGTGATTGTGAGGTCTATTCTGCTCAAAGATTTGAGCATTTAGGACAGCATATTGTCAATGCCTGGGAACTGCAAGATGTTCCTGTAAGGTGCTTGCTGAATTTTATTTCAGCCATAGGGCTTTCATGCTAATCACAATTTTAGGGTTTGGGTACAATAGACCTCTGGTAGATGTGCCCTGCTCGTCAGAGCTGCCCAACCTCTAAGTCTAAGTCTAAGCACTGATACAACAGGCTCGCCAAAGAATTACCAGGCAAATCTGTTTATCCTTAAGAAATAAAAATAATAGCGTAACAATCTTAAACTTTAAAAAAAAATTTTACATTGCAACAAAACAAATTATGAATAGTTATCAAACATTTAACTTTCTTGTTAAAAGCAAATCGTGCTTTCTTATTTAGTCCCAGGAAAAAAAATTAAGTATTTTTGAAAAAATACTTGGTTTTTACCAATAAACCCTAGGTTCTTGAAGAAAAACCAAGGTGGGATGGGATTTTTCAAATCCTGTTTCTTACAAATCTGCTTAATTTTTAGTACAATCATGAATTTTAAAAAATGTTATGCTTTCTATAAATTTACAGTTACTTATTACACATTGAAATATTATACAAATTTATTTAATCAGAGATTTTAGGAAATAGTTTTTGTTATGGATTCTAGTTCAATCTTTTTTTCTCTGATACTTCTTTTCTTAGCGTTTTACTTAATCCCTATAAGCAGATGCATTACTAGTAGAACTTAATTTCTTGAATTCTGCCAATTTTGAAGGTTAATGCGGGTCTTCTAATTCATCATCATCATATCTGGCTAGACAGCCCAGGGTGGGCAAGTGCCTTCCTTTGATTTCGAATCCACTTCTCTCTACTTTTGATACTTGTTCGCCAGTTTTTCTCTTTTAGAGTAAGGAAATCAGTCTCAAATAAATCCAGCCATCTCAGCCTGGGTCTACCTCTTTTCCTGTTTGTTAGGGGTTTGTGTAAAAGGATCTAATTAGGTACCTTAAAACTGCCCCCTCCCCCCCCCCAAAAAAAAGAGTACTATCTCTTCCATGTGCAGTATTCCCCTTGTCCACGCTATTCTTTTCTTTTAGAATGCTTCACCTCATAAAGTATCATTCTACGCAAAGGGCAGAATATATTAATGTAAGAACCAATATATGAATGAAAAGTCATGTTTTCTACCCCTTGCCTGTACCCCCCCCCCTTTACACACATTAATTTTTGTCTCACTAAAACGCTTTACCGTCGATGCATGGTCTAATTCTAAGTGTTAAAAGAAATTCATTTTGTTAAAAAAAATTGTTTCTATCAACTGTAGTGATGCCAAAAAATTAAGGACTTTTAAAAACCTTGAACCAAAATTAAGCACTTTTAAGGGCCCTTATTTTCCAAAATAAAAATTAAGCAGTTTTTAAGGACTGTGGGAACCCTGTGTTAATTTGCTTAATGTTGGTAACACGCAACAAAGGAAATGTGGGGTATAGATTCAACTCATATTCAAGATATTAGCCTTTTCTCTAAAGTAAAAAAAAAAAAAAGGTAAACATTTCTCTCTATATCACAATTTTTAAAAGAAAATGAACAGAATTTTTACAATTAATGCAAGCAATTCCATATATAAATTTTAGCTCTCAGCAATAATACAATTCTCTATATAAAATAATTAAATCCTCTTAACAAAAATATTGATGTATAAATTACAATTAACCATACCTGAACCTGAGCCAGATGTGGTCATGTCAATCATATCTTTTATCGAATGATCAGGAGGTAACATCGGTTCACAGCTTTCTAAAGAATTTTCACAATCAACTTGGTACCTGCGATGCTTCTGACGCAATTGCCATGCAGCCCAAAATATCAGTGCAAATAAACATATTGCACAAATAGGTGTAGCAGTTATTATAATCACTTCCAGTGTATTGAATCGAGGCTCCTTATCAAGCATGCCACTTTCTAAAATAAATTGCCAATACATAAAAATTACAACAACAAAAAATTTATTTACTTAGTTAACAATTTGAATTGGAAAAAATTTGATACTGCATGACTGGTATCAATTTCTCTTTGCAGGTAAAAATGTTAATTTCGACAGTTATATTTTATTGATCCAATAACATACATATTTTAACAATATTTTTCGCAAACATGATCGATCATAACTGTTCAATGCTTAATGAAAATATAATGCAGCAACAGTTTTAATTTCTAAGGGAGAGAAAAAGGAATAGACCCCATATCACATGATTTAAACGAATGTATTGGCCTTGACTCTACAAGGCTTTGATATATCTTACACAAAAACAAAATTTAATAGTATATGATTAAATGAAAGTTATAAACAATAACCTTAAGATAATTAAAACTACTAGTTTTAAATTTAATATAATGAAATGATCTTACCAGCAGCTGATGTTGGAGGAGCCAGTGTGGGAGATAAATCTCGATTGCAGTAATCATAATTCTGACAACACTTGATGACAAAAAGAGTCTTTGATTTTATACTTTCTGAGTGTTGACAAACCATAGGATGTTCCGGAGGCTGTAATTCCTTCTTTGGAAAACACCTTAAGTAATAATTTATAAATAAAAAACAAAATACTTTAACAAAGGATAAAATAAACATGAATTTTTTCTAAAAAAGTAATTTCCTTTAAAAATAAAATCACAATTATTTTTATTGAATGACTATCAAACAACATTGAGGATTTTTACAATAATAAATTTTCTATTGAATTGCTTAGAAAACATAATTTATGCATGTATAAGTAAAAAATTATATAAATATGTATTTAATAATTGATTCACTTGTTGCAGAAAAGAATTTAATCAATGGTTTTATACCATTTCTGCATTAAGTGGTTGAAATAAAGATTAGGTATATAATAAAAATATATCTACATAAATTCAGCATTATTGACTTTCAGGCTAAGAAGCTCCAGAATCTAACATTTTTAATTTATACTGATATAAACAAGAAATCACTCTTCAATACAAATACATTCAAAAAGCATTTACAATACATCGCACCCACTAATAACTGTCATTGATTTTTATTCATTAATTTTTTTTAAATATTTCTTTGAAAAAAAAGCTTCGAGTTCATTTGTAGTGCATATAAAAATGCTATACAGTAATACATTCAAAAAGCAATTACAATATATTGCAGAAACTAATTACTGTCATTGATTTTTATCATTAATTTTTTTATATTGCTTTAAAAGAAAAGTTTTGAGTTCATTTGTAATACATATAAAAATATTTTATGGTACTGAATAGACAAGTCTGATTTCTGGTTGTCTATTTACAAGAAAGGTCTGTTTTCCGGGGACTTTTCAACAATCAAAATAAACAAATCATTTTTGCATTAAAAAACAAAAAATCATTTTTTACGATTGAAATCTGTTAGATAAAAAGTATTGCAAAAAAAATGCTTTTTTTTGTTGCTTTTCCTATACTTTACTGCTTAACATTTACTATGCTTCAATAAGCACACTAAAAGAATTGTTGAAAACACAAGAAATTAAAGAAAAACTTCAGTCAGAAATATAAACTATGAACATTAATGAAGCTGAATATTAATAGTGTTTGAAAAGAACACCCACCAGCATACAAGCTTTGTTGCCTTTAAACTTCAATGACCTATTATCCGGAAAAATCTATTTTCCAGACTTGCTAAAGTCTCAGCGATTACGGATATGGGACATTTCACTCTATAAGTATACTTCATTTATATTTAAATTATGATTATTTTAAAATGAACTTGTCAAACGGTAGGAAATTATAATTATAACTGACTAAACAATTAGCAAAATTGGTAGTTAATTATCATGCATTTAATTATTTTTTGACAATTCAAAGTAGTTCTAAGTTCAAGGTAAAAATATTGTTTAGCATTGAATATTTTTTCAAATACTTGAAATGTAATAATCGGTCCTTTTCACATTTAAAATTCCCTAAAAAATTCCTCTATATATATATATTCCTACCTTAAATTCCTCCATAAACCACTTTGTCCTTAAAAGTAACAACTTTAAAAACTTTTTTCCATTTTGCAATCCTTCAAAATTGAACAAATAAAATATAATGAAAGAATATATTCTTTATGCAATGCAAAAAATTATTGTAATGCATCAATTTAAGTTCAGCAATGCACCAAAATTGAACAAAAAAGAAACGAAAGAATATATTTCCGACAAATGATACATTTAATAAATAAATAAATAATATAAAAAGTTAAGTTAAGTTAAGTTGCTATCGTAATATTTATTTTTTAACAAAGCAAATAAGTTCTCCTTATTTCTGGAAATTAAATATTTTGCACTATTTTAAACCTTTCGAAATTTAGCTTTATACAATTAGAATATAAAATAAATAAAGCAGTGCAATAAGTTTATGAACTGAAACTGCACTTAAAAATTTAATAGAAAAAACAATCAGTTCTTAATGTACAAAAGACTGGTAATTTTATAATGCAGCAACAAACAATAATCAACATAAATTGTATAAAATTTCATTTACCTATATGAATGTGTAATAACTCCATTATCGCCTAAGGATGTTGACGTAAAACAGAGACCATCAGTGTCACAACTGTGGTTTGCTGATTCTCCACATATATCACAATGGCACTTCAATGCTAAACAGAGAAATTTTAATAAGTTTAAACAAAACTAAATGCATGAAAGTACAAAAAATCTGCCTGCATTTAAACATAAAAATTTTAGGATTTTTTGAGAAACTGGCAGTTGAATAACCAAATTCAATTCAAAAGTTGAAGCAATTCTGAGCATGTTCCATTGGCTCTGATTTTTCTATACAGATTCAATATCAAATGAATAAGACTAGTAGAAAGCAGGACAAAATCCTTCAGTCAATTGATTTGGAAAGAGATCTAGTGGAAGAACTATATTTTTTACAGAGAACAAATAGTTTAAATTCAAATTGTTTATTCTATGCCACAGGAAAAAACACTGTTTTAAAAAAATATATACATGTATGTAAGAAAATAAATTATTTTATCAGTAGATTGAGCAAAGTAAAACAAAATGAATGAATATTTTCAAGCATTTTAATAAATATTTTTTATTTAAATTTTTAAGTATTTTTTTAATACTAACATATTATTCATTTTATGTAGATAAATATACTATAACCATGCATCACAATTTCCTGCGTAGTATCTCTGGTGATGCAGATTCTGCAGGTGGGAATTTCAGCCGAATTGGATAAATTTCAGTGCATAATCCACATATTATAGGATTGTTCGTTTAGTCTAAAAGAAACAAGGAATCAAGTTTTGCTCGCATATTGAGGGGAAATCTTCATCATATATGAGCCAATGGACATTGGCAAGGAAACGGGCGAGTGAATAAGCGATCATGTTTAAGTGGCATTTACATTGGATATGAAATATCTTGTAAGCAAGTTTGGAGAGGCAAACGAGAATGGTGGTTTTTCACAGGTAAAAATTTTGATGGGTTTTTCACAGGTAAATATATTTCACCAATAAGGTTCTCGTTCGCATGCTCGAATTTCTTGCATCTGAGCCTCAAGTTGCCATTGGGGATCGTACCTCTGTTCTTAAAAATGACAGCTTAATGTCTTAACCACTGTGCCATCGTGGCACATATAACTGTTCCAAGAAGAAAAAAAAGTTTTTTTCAATAAAAAATTCCTGAATCGTCAACATAAGAACTTTCAGAACACTCTATATTCCAGAAAAATCGAATAATAAAGTTGTATGGATTACTGGTGCATCCAGTGGTCTTGGCAAATATTTGGCGTATGAGTCAGAAAGCAGGCGTATGAGTGGAAAAATCAGAAAGCAAAATTGCTCAACAAGAACCTTTAATGTTTAAAACTCTTGACTCCTGAAACTATTGAAAGTAGTTTCACTTTCTTTTCCTTAATTTAATTTCAAAATTAAAAGTTTTCCCCTTTTTAAAAAAAAAAACTGATAATGACGAGATTTCACAATCTTTCGTAAGCATTGCCCATATTCCTCTTCTCCTTGTCAGCAAAAATAAAGAAATCATAAACCCTTATAAAATTTTTAAATGCTTCCTTAAATCCAAAGAATCATTTTTTTTTAATATTTATTTTGAATAGGTTTTCTTCAAACCATGATATTAATGAAGGTTAAGTCATGATAAATTTTATTTTAGTTTTACTTAGAAGTTTTAATTTAATAAAATTTAATGAGCTCAATAGCAAGTATGTAAAACCTCAATGTTCAGGGCAGTATCATTAACCTACATTTGCCCATATGATTGCAAAGCCATTGATCATTAACCTGCATTTGCTCATATGATTGAATTGACCCCATTAAGTAATAAAAAGTAGAGAATTAAAATCCCACCACCTTTTACTAAACCAAAACAGCTAGCTTATATGGTCTAATGTATAAGTAAATATATATAAGCTTATATATGTCAATTTTTCTTAGGGACTGTTACATCTATCTTAGTTTCTAAAGTTTAAAAACAATTATTTTACCTACAATGATGAATCATCAATTAAAAAATATGTTTAAGATTTGTTATTTAAGTAGTTATGCTTTCTGAAGATGCGTAATTTTAAGAAATTCCTTCTACTTCAGCATTACTTTACAACCTTACAAATTGGCAGCTATGCGATTCCAAGAAAAAATATCCCTTTACTTCAGCCTTGCTTTGAAGAACACTAGCGTTTAAATCTGGTATAACTCTCACATTAATGTAGGACTTATTTAGTGGTGTCTGCTGAAATTTATACTGCCTCACAATTAATTGATGTGCTTATAAATGGATTTTGAATTAAACATAAAAGCAATTTGTTTTGTTTAGGAATATAATGTAGTGTTACAGGGTATCTATATATCACCTCCTGTAAATGAAGCACATAAAAGTTTATTTTGATACCCAAAAAATCTGACAACATAAGGCATTCATGCGACTTACATGAATTAGCACTTATATCTGACAAATGGCTGTATATTAATAGGAAGTAATATTTCAAAGACAATTATTAAAATAAAAACTTACAATTAAAAATAGTTGATAACGTTAGATTAAAAACAAAAAATTGTAGAACGAATATTTCAAAGCTAACCTTCAAGCTATCAAACAAATTATAACAAATCACACATTTTAAGTTGAGCATTCAGACCTAAAAATAACCAGTGCACGGTAGTCAGAAAAGAGATTGTTTGAATCGCAACTTTTACCAATAAAAAATCAGGGTAAATATGTCCCACAAAGCTGAAATCTGCTGAAGATAACATTACATATCACTAATTTCAATCTAGGAAATGTTCATGTATTTATAAAGCATAATTTTTATACAAATCAGCCTAAAAAAATTCGATTTCATAATTCTTATAAATTTAAAGATAAAGTTTTGTTATTTTTTACAAGAATGTATTAATTTTTGATACGTAGCTAAACATACCAAGAGTTCCGTTATTTTCCCATAAGAAAAAAGCAAATATAATTCCGACATAAAAGATCATTATAATAAATTAGTAGTAAAAAATCTACGCAAGATCGTAGATATATTAAGTGGGCGCATTTACAATTAGAAATCATTTAAAATAATCTGTTTTCAGTTTTCGAATCATATTATTGTTTATTTTACACGGTCTGTCAGTATTGACGAAAAAAAACTCTTCCCCCCTCCACACAGCAGGCGCGTTTCAATATCGCCACTGGTCACCTAGTTTTCCGCACTAACCGTACCAAAATGAAAACTAGTAATACCAGTGCTCCGCACTAGTTGTTCCTTTATTCAAACTGGTATAATCAGTTATTAGTGCGTTTTATCTTTTAAGTAGCAACGAAGAACTGCAAAAAAATAATTCAAATCGACCAAACGAACTTGATGTTGTTGTTGTTGTTGTTAATTTACGTCGCACTAGAGCTGCACAATGGGCTATTGGCGACATTATATCGCTCATTCGGATGTACTATAATTCAATTCAGAAAATCGAATTTTAACAATAAAGAAATAAAATTTTTTACAATTAGGTAAAACATAGTTCTTTTTTCTGCTAAGAAAGTTGTTTAGTACAATTTTGTTACTTTACAATGTTGTGCTTAATTTACGTCGCACTAGAGCTGCACAATGGGCCATTGGTGACGGTCTGGGAAACATCCCTGAGGATGATCCGAAGACATACCATCACAATTTTGATCCTCTGCAGATGGGATGGCACCCCCGCTTCGGTAGCCCGACGACCTGCGCGCGAAGTCGAGCACTTTACGGTAGAACAGTTTAACGAGGACCCATACCGCACACCCTCGGTCCCTACACAGACTGATCCAAGTG